TCATATTACTTTAATCATGTTAATGGTGCAAAGAGTACACATACAACTCACACAGTGACCATATGACCTAAGTGGTGCCATGAGTATATACACAGCACTACACATTGATCATATTACTTTAATCATGTTAATGGTGCAAAGAGCACACATACAACTCCACACAGTGACCATATGACCTAAGTGGTGCCATGAGTATATACACAGCACTACACATTGATCATATTACTTTAATCATGTTAATGGTGCAAAGAGTACACATACAACTCCACACAGTGACCATATGACCTAAGTGGTGCCATGAGTATATACACAGCACTACACATTGATCATATTACTTTTAATCATGTTAATGGTGCAAAGAGCACACATACAACTCCACACAGTGACCATATGACCTAAGTGGTGCCATGAGTATATGCACAGCACTACACATTGATCATATTACTTTAATCATGTTAATGGTGCAAAGAGTACACATACAACTCCACACAGTGACCATATGACCTAAGTGGTGCCATGAGTATATACACAGCACTACACATTGATCATATTACTTTAATCATGTTAATGGTGCTGAGAGTACACATACAACTCCACACAGTGACCATATGACCTAAGTGGTGCCATGAGTATATACACAGCACTACACATTGATCATATTACTTTTATCATGTTAATGGTGCAAAGAGTACACATACAACTCCACACAGTGACCATATGACCTAAGTGGTGCCATGAGTATATACACAGCACTACACATTGATCATATTACTTTAATCATGTTAATGGTGCAAAGAGTACACATACAACTCCACACAGTGACCATATGACCTAAGTGGTGCCATGAGTATATATACACAGCACTACACATTGATCATATTACTTTAATCATACAACTCCACACAGTGACCATATGACCTAAGTGGTGCCATGAGTATATACACAGCACTACACATTGATCATATTACTTTAATCATACAACTCCACACAGTGACCATATGACCTAAGTGGTGCCATGAGTATATACACAGCACTACACATTGATCATATGACTTTAATCATGTTAATGGTGCAAAGAGTACACATACAACTCCACACAGTGACCATATGACCTAAGTGGTGCCATGAGTATATATACACAGCACTACACATTGATCATATTACTTTAATCATGTTAATGGTGCAAAGAGTACACATACAACTCCACACAGTGACCATATGACCTAAGTGGTGCCATGAGTATATATACACAGCACTACACATTGATCATATTACTTTAATCATACAACTCCACACAGTGACCATATGACCTAAGTGGTGCCATGAGTATATACACAGCACTACACATTGATCATATTACTTTAATCATACAACTCCATACAGTGACCATATGACCTAAGTGGTGCCATGAGTATATACACAGCACTACACATTGATCATATTACTTTAATCATGTTAATGGTGCAAAGAGTACACATACAACTCCACACAGTGACCATATGACCTAAGTGGTGCCATGAGTATATACACAGCACTACACATTGATCATATTACTTTAATCATACAACTCCATACAGTGACCATATGACCTAAGTGGTGCCATGAGTATATACACAGCACTACACATTGATCATATTACTTTAATCATGTTAATGGTGCAAAGAGTACACATACAACTCCACACAGTGACCATATGACCTAAGTGGTGCCATGAGTATATACACAGCACTACACATTGATCATATTACTTTAATCATGTTAATGGTGCAAAGAGTACACATACAACTCCACACAGTGACCATATGACCTAAGTGGTGCCATGAGTATATACACAGCACTACACATTGATCATATTACTTTAATCATGTTAATGGTGCAAAGAGCACACATACAACTCCACACAGTGACCATATGACCTAAGTGGTGCCATGAGTATATACACAGCACTACACATTGATCATATTACTTTAATCATGTTAATGGTGCTAAGAGTACACATACAACTCCACACAGTGACCATATGACCTAAGTGGTGCCATGAGTATATACACAGCACTACACATTGATCATATTACTTTTAATCATGTTAATGGTGCAAAGAGCACACATACAACTCCACACAGTGACCATATGACCTAAGTGGTGCCATGAGTATATGCACAGCACTACACATTGATCATATTACTTTAATCATGTTAATGGTGCAAAGAGTACACATACAACTCCACACAGTGACCATATGACCTAAGTGGTGCCATGAGTATATACACAGCACTACACATTGATCATATTACTTTAATCATGTTAATGGTGCTGAGAGTACACATACAACTCACACAGTGACCATATGACCTAAGTGGTGCCATGAGTATATACACAGCACTACACATTGATCATATTACTTTTATCATGTTAATGGTGCAAAGAGTACACATACAACTCCACACAGTGACCATATGACCTAAGTGGTGCCATGAGTATACACAGCACTACACATTGATCATATTACTTTAATCATGTTAATGGTGCAAAGAGCACACATACAACTCCACACAGTGACCATATGACCTAAGTGGTGCCATGAGTATATACACAGCACTACACATTGATCATATTACTTTAATCATGTTAATGGTGCAAAGAGTACACATACAACTCCACACAGTGACCATATGACCTAAGTGGTGCCATGAGTATATACACAGCACTACACAGTGACCATATATTACCTACTGGCTAACAAGGATAAGTTGAGCACAGACCTGACAATTGACCTGTATTAGCATGTATGAGTGCCGCCCACTGGCGGTTGCCATTGTTAGTGAAGGGGCCTCAGGTTGTCCGCGATCAAGTGTAGTGCAATGGGTGAAGCAAGGCGTGTGCAGCTACCCGCGCGGAATCAATTTCATCGTCATGCAATGCACGTGCACTAGCCTACATCTGCTCTACCTTTCACAAACCAAATGGGTTTCCTCATTGCCGTTCACCGCCTACTTCTCGTAAACACTTTTTCTGCGCTGGTCCAGCTTATCCTTGTTTGCCAGTAAGTGGTGCAAAGAGTGCCTACACAACTCCACACAGTGATCGTGTCACCTGAGTGGTGCCATGAGTATACATACAGCACCAGATGGTGATCATGAACTAAGCACACCTTCCAGCATACTAACCTTGCCACAGGCAGCTGCCATATGACAATTCATCTCATCTTACACTGTCTAATCAAGATTTAACATTACGTTTTCCATCTGATTCATATTTTATGAGCCTACTCATCTAAGTAAACATCTGTTTATAGAATGATTTACATTCTTTGAGAAAAGATCTTTACCTAAAATGTGAAACATTATTTCGTTTTCCGTAGTTATCCATTGTTTACGTTGGTTGTTGGTCTCCATGCACTGTTGTCAAAGTGTTATGGAGAGCAGAGGTACATATAAGCTGCTTATCTGTAAATTACGCAAATATTTATTTGAAAACTCAATTTCTATTAAGTCTATTGCGTACAAGTATGCTTGAATTTTGGTAAAGACTTAAAAAATTTGATCTTACATGTGTACACACAAAATAGATATAATAACTGAAGCATATTGAGAGGTTCTATTTCAGCACATGAACTTGGCAACTTGCAGTCTTTCTTATTGTTTCTCATATTACAGATTAAATATAAATAACAAGCATGTAAGCCAGCATTTAAACTTTATTATATTGTTATAATTAATGGAAAATAGCAAAATACCCAATTGAGTTTGTTTGAGGTAGGTACAATTTATTTGGTTACTTCAAGGAAAATTAGTATACCCAATAGAGATGAACACAAGCGAGTACATAACTCAATGACCCAAAAAGTTATCTGTAGCTCAGGGAGAAGTAGTGATACAAACACACTGATTTGTAAATATGTATTGTCATCCAACTCACCAGTCGAAGTAAACTTAGGCTCAGTATTATTCGTTACACTGCTATACTGAGTCTAACAAACCCTAGTAGAAGGTCGCATCAGCTAACCTTTTGGACTGACCAATCAGAACACAGCTAACCAAATCGTGAAAGGTAACATTTATAGCAGTGTAACGAATAATACTGAGCCTAAGTTTACTTAGACTGTCCAACTCACCATCCAAATATGAAGAGTGCTCCTAAAAAGTTTGCATTTCGTCATCACTTCTGATTTCAGAATGACCGTGATTGTTTACAAATAATATAAAAGTGCAGTCACGTGATATGCAAATTACTGTGGCAGTGATGTTATGCTAAGTCATCACTAAATGGTGCCAAGAGTATGTACTCAACACCATGCAGTGATCATGGCCAAAGTGGTCAAACTTTCAACAACAATAGGTTGCTGGGATTGCTATAGTTTTTTCTGGATTCAAATATATTGAATTAGTAAACTCAGTCAGAAGTCACACTCACTTACTATATTTTCTTGTATATCTCTCACAAACCCCATCCTATGTTTTGGTGGAACTTGCTATCAGTTTGATTACACATATAATGTTTAGTCAAAAACTGCATCATATTGCATCAGTTTGTTTATGCCGCACTCAGTATTCCAGTATTCCAGCTAACTGGTGGCGGTCTGTAAATAATCAAGTCAGAACCAATCCAGTGATCGGCATAATTGTTTGTGTTCGATTATGAGAAAACATGATCAATTGCTTTGTCGTTTAGTCACTGCGACCAATCTTCGATTATTTCAATTACTTGGACCACCCCTAATGAGCATCAATATATTGGGATACGATTACATGTGTCAACTAAGTCAGCGGGCCTGACCACCCGATCCTGTTAGTTGCCTCTTTCGACAAGCATGGGTTGCCTAAGACCAGTTCTAACCCGGATCTTCACGAGTCAGCCTTTGGGAAAACAGATTAATGTTGTCCATTTTATTGATGTATCATAAGTATATTTTCCACATTATTCACAGCTGCATTATTTTGAAACAGTGTGCACAAGGAAATCTATATTCTGGTAATGATTATGTAATTGTTGATGTACAGGAGACAAGGTTGGTCTCATCAATGATGATCCTCCGAAGCGGACGACGAAGAAGGAGTCGACAGACAGTGACAGTACCCGGGCAGAGTCCTCACCACTGCATAAAGGCAATGCAGGGGAAAACCAGGATGGGCAGAAGAGCACGTAAGTGATCAGTAGTAAGTGCACCATCTATTCCTGAAACAAAGAAGTTGACATCCATGAAAAATTCTCTTCCTCATGTGTATCACTTCTAAATGCCATTCAAAGCACATCTAGTTTGTCTTTTCTTCCAAACTAGTGTCAGAAATACAACCACTTAGGTCTGGAAACCCTGCCATCAGACAGTCTTGTGATACACATGATACACAACTCATTGTGTGATGTAGTGGAACAAATATATCATATGATGCTGAAAATTTACTGAACATGATTGTCTTATTTCCTGATATTGTAGGAGTTTATCGAGTAGGGGACAATATATGGCCCCAAATCTGGTGGGGCAGCCTAGTGGTTGAAGCGTCTGCTCATCACGCCGAAGACCAGGGTTCGATTCCTCATATGGGCACAATGTGTGAAGCCCATTTCTGGTGTCCCCTGCTGTGATATTGATGGAATATTGCTAAAAGTGGCGTAAAACCAAACCCACTCACTCACTCTAATCATGCTAGGTTGGTGGGGTAGTCTATTGGTTAAAGTGTTGGCTTGTCACACCAAAGACCCGGGTTCGATTCCCCACATGGGTGCAATGTGTGAAGCCCATTTCTGGTGTCCCCTGCTGTGATGTTGCTGGAATATTGCTAAAAGCGGCGTAAAACCATACTCACTACTCTAATCAGGCTAATGTTATGGCTCTTGTATAGAGGGAAAAGCTTACTTTAACATTACTGCAATGAATGCAGTCTTAAATCTAATGGTAAAATACATTTGGATTTATAATAATAACGACTTAAGTTAAAATCCCAATTTTGTGCAAAATATCAACTTTTCCCACTTTACCTGCCAAATGTACTTAGTTTAGAATCTTAGGTACCTGTGTGCTTTTATATTATGGAGGATTCTCTCTATGGCTTTCTGCTGTTGTTAAGGCAACTTCTCCTGGGGTCATCTGCCCTAGAATTCTCTCTATTTTCAAGGAATGTGTCCTAATATTTTTATCCTGTCTTGAACTATGCATTTATCCTTCTTCTTCAATTCATGTTTGGAAAGAGTTGTAAAACAAGGTTTCCAGCTTCAAAACCATGGTCACAACCCTAAACACGAGATCAAGTATCTGTGACAGCAACCTAACCTTTGATCAGTACATGATGGTACATGATCAGTAGGTCCCATGTCATCTCTCCTGTCCCCTCTGCTGTGGTCGCCCCACTTGAGTGATCTCTGCTAACATCGTTCTCTTTACAAGCCATCTCCGGACATCAATCGTAGTCTCTGGACACTCATCGTAGTGCACAGAGTGAAAGTCACTAGTATCTAGCATCCAGGTATCAATACTCGTGGGTGAACTGATGGATCAACTTACATCGACTGATCTACACAGATTAACTGATGGATCAACTTACATCGACTGATCTACACAGATCAACTGACTGACCAGCATCAGTCAATGATGCATCAGTGAACTGAGGAATCAACTTACATCGACTGATCTACACAGATCAACTGACTGACCAGCATCAGTCAATGATGCATCAGTGAACTGATGGATCAACTTACATCGACTGATCTACACAGATCAACTAACTGACCAGCATCAATGAAAGAGCCATCAATGGATTGACGTGACTTGATGGTTCGACATGACTGACTGATCAGTAAATGATGTATCAAAGTGGGATTGATCAAGCATCAATCGATCAACCATCAATGGATATATATGTACATCAAACAAGGAATCAACATACATTGACAGATCAACATACAGTGGAAACCTGATAAGTAAAATTTCAAGGGACTCGCCAAAATTGTTTACTTATCAGGTATTTTACTTATCCAAACTTATAAAAACCTGCAAATGACAACCATATGCATGTATATGTATGCATATGTAACAATGAACAACTTATCAGGGCTGGCCTCCAGTTGTCAGTGTATTGTCAACTGCTTGACGCCAGTGAGCTGTAAGTAGGATGTTTGTTTGACTGGATATTGACACGACTGTTCCTCCTGTCGGATTATGTGGTGATCGCTAATTTAGTTATCCAGTCTCTTTTGTTAAGTAATTTACTTCCAGGGACCGTGAGAAGACGTTTAGTTAAGAGGTATTGTTTACTTATCCGAGTTTAGTTAACCGGACTCTAATAGTGATAATTAATGAAGAAATTTGCCGGGACCAAAGAAAAGTGTTTACTTATCAGGTCTGTTTAGTTAAGTGGTCTTTACTTAGGCGGTTTCCACTATATATTGACAAACATTGATATCTCTCCTGTACTCCATACTTCATTGGATCACCACAAGTCAGTACTGAAAGGTGTCAGCCCTTGTTGAATCGACCCCTGTCGTTGGATCGACAGGAACACTAACCTCTCAGAGATAGACTTTAACACATAATTTTTAAAGCAAACTTTCAAGTGCTTTTCGAAATCTATAGATTGTAGAATTACCATCCACCTTCATATCTTAGTGTAGGTTGAATTGTTAATTCATTCTTTTAATTATGTTATCTGGGACAGAGAATAACCTCCTAACCACCTCAGAATCACTGTAGATCAGACCTCCCATGACTTCCCTGATATGTAACTAAGATGGTGACCAGGGTGGTTACCATTGTGGTCAATTGGATGTGTTTTTGAAGCTGGAAGCTTAGTTCTAGAATCATTTCCCACTCCTGGATTGAAAAAGGATAAAATGCATAGTTGACTAAAAACATATAAATGTACAATTTATTGTAATTTTTTTCAATTTTCCTATTTTGTATTTGACAGCCTACAGTCCTTCAGCCTGCGTGTGATCATCGTCTCCGCTATAGTGTTTGCCGTTGCTGTCACCGTCTCCCTCATCCTCACCATCTACCTCGGCCCACCACAGGTATGACCAACTCACTTATCTCAGCCTGTACCGTTACCATGCAGATCCGGGTTACAATTGGCCTTCAGTAACCCATGCTTGTCATAAGAAACGACTAAAAGAATCAGGTGGTCAGGCATGCTGACTTGTGTGACACATCTCATCATATCCCAGTTGCGTAGATCAATGCACATGTTGTTGATCACTGGATTGTGTGGTCCAGTCCCAATTATTTACAGATCACCGTCATATAGCTGGAATATTGCAGCATTAAAGAAACAACCAAACTTACTGTAATCACTGTAACATCACATTTGTGGTTGCAGTTTAATATAACAAATGTTTAATATGCCAATCACTCCAAACCCTTTCATTTGATGGGGATGAGTGTATGTATGGACATGTGATCTTGTCTGTTAGAATTGTACATGTGACATACATCCTACCTCTTTCATATGATCTAGATTGGTGAACACGCTGCTGTGGCCTCCGATGTTGGCGTCTGCTCAGATATGGGCCTGGTGATCCTCAAGAAGGGAGGTAATGCTGTTGATGCTGCTGTTACAACGCTGTTGTGTCTGGGCGTGGTCAACTCCCACAGCTCAGGGCTTGGAGGGTGAGTCACTAGACAAAGGCATGGATACTTGCAAGGGAGGTTAAGGATATGTTCAATGTCGGTTCAGCAAGTCCAAGAACCAATGGCAATATGCAGATCTGTGATTGTAGAAGTTGCAATTTCAGCTTCTGCGCAACATGTAGTCATTATTATGAAGTTCAAACTCATTTCTTTTACTCCTGTTGAATACCTCTCTGCTTGAAGATCTGATTAAACAAAACCAGCGTGAAGGCTTCATGCCTTAGATATCATTTCCTTATCTCAATAACAAACAAAAAGACCTCAGTTCGAATGTATATGGATTGTTAAGGCTTTGCCCTTATAGTACTTTTATGCAGTCTTGTAGTCCCTAAGCACCATGACACCTACACCCAAAAGAGAACACCTTTGGAAAATATTTGTGTTCTGTGTGTGTATTTTTTGCATTTTTATTAAAAATCTTAAGACTTCGGACTTTGGTGGTACAGAAATGAATCTGAAATGTCACAGGAATTCTTATTTCCGCAAAAAAGTCTAGCATCTTTAAGATTTCCTAGTCGAAGTTCTTCACACAGAGTCATACCATATGAGAGTTAAAGGTCTGATTTTAATGCGGTCTGATCATGATAATGCAGTGGGTCAAGGTCAAGGTCAATGTGGGGTTTGAGTTGCTACCATATCTGTATTATGGATGTAGACATGCAGTTGGTCAAGGTCAAGGCAGTTTGAATGTGAGTTTAACAATCTTGAGTTGCTACAATATCTGTATTATCAGGCCTACCAAAGAAAACTTTCCCACTGTGCAGAAAAACGCAGAAAAGCCCACATTAATCGTGGAAATAGCATACTGTGCATGGGCATTCTGATCCTGGCTTCTTTCCAATTTCCGAGCAACCGTGAATCGCCTCGCATATAAAAAGTATTAAATATGTCAAAATAGTTGCTGTCAATTGTTTCATACGAATGGAAAGTAAACTAAACAAGTATGCACACAAGTATCATAATGATAATGCCAAATAACACAACAGAAAAACTTAAAAAGGAATGTTACTTTTGTTCAGTCTGGAAAATGTCAACATGCGGTCAAGATTTCCTTTTCCATGTGCACATGCGCAAAATCGAAGTTGTGGGCTCCTCTTTTTATGATGCAGTGTTAGCGATTTAAAGTTGCCGTTTTAACTGTTTCAGTAGCGAGGTATTATGTTTATGTTGCTATTTCCACGATTAATGTGGGCTTTTCTGCGTTTTTCAGCACAGTGGGAAAGTTTTCTTTGGTAGGCCTGATTACGGAAAGAGACATTATCTGTCCAGAGTGAATTCAGTTTTGTAAGTCACGCCCTTTCATAATATTGCTGGCATTTCAGCAGAGTAAACGCATACATTTGAAACATGGATTTCAGTCTCAGGCATGGCTGTATTTTGAGCATGCTAAAAGAGAGACAGTGATCTAAGGATATTGTCTTATGTTTTGTATTTATTCATGTTTTTCACCACCTCTATATTGTTTTACCATAGTTACAGTTTTATTTGACTTAATTTCAGTGGTGGTTTTATGCTTGTATATGACCACAAGATAAAGCAGTCAACTGCCTATGACTTCCGTGAAACAGCACCCAGAGCAGCCAAAGATTCCCTCTTCCCGACAAGAGCATCAACAATGACGGTCAGTCCTGCATATGTGTCGTTTTACACTTCTGTTTGATCTCTGGTAGCTTTACAATGGTTCTGACTTTACTGTTTATAGGGGTGAAACGATATATTGCGGTATTAGTAGAACTGTGGTATTTATCTTCAGTTCGGTATATTGATATGAATTCAGTATTTTCGGTTTTCATACCATCATTTCTAGCAAGTCATAAAATGACATTCTTTTTTATATATTCCTCCTTGGGGTACTTATAAGCATTTAAATGTCCATTTAAAATCCCTACAACAGTTGTAACAATATTTGAATAAAAAATATTTACAAAACAAAAACTACGTTTTGTCTTGTGAGACTACCCTTACAGGGCCCTCCGGCCCCCTACAGCCAAGAGCAGGTAACTCTAGACCATAACCTCGTACCTCACTTTCCATGCTGTCGTTTCACTGGCAAGACGTGGGTCCACTTCGAAGAAGTTTAATTTCCTAAGCGACTATGAGTGTCTCAGAAACAGCTACTGTATGTATGGTTCTCTTTTTTCCCTGCATGGGCGATTTGGAGACTTGTTCTGAACATTTTCATTCATCTTTTTTGGTTGTAACTTGGTCCCTGTCGCTGTTAAACTCGGTGCGTGGTCAAGATGGCGGACAGGTCCCTTAAGCTAGCCTCACTGTTCATTGGCTTCCCATGTGGTTTTCAATGTTTCGTGTGGTTATAGTGTTTTTTATTTGTATGTTATTACATGTAGGGCGTTATTTCCGCTGCTAGCATTTTCTATCTTTACGCTACAGTCGTAATTGTTAGTTATGTTGCAGTGTGTCTTACTTGTTATTGTCAACTTCATGCTTACATTATCGCATTAGTTGTGGTCGCCCATGCGTGTTTTTTCATATATTTATGTATGTATGGGGTAGGTTACTGCACGGGTTTTTTACTTATTGCAGTTGTCCCGTTTGACTCATTAACTACTCTTTTTCAGGAACAGATGTCGTCTGTGAAATCCCTGATTGACACGGCGTTGTCTGGGTTCCGTAAGGAGCTCAGCGCGCCTGTCGTCGGGGGTGGATCAGATGCGTCTGGGGGAGTTAGCTGCGGCCCGAGCTCGGCTCGGAGCCTCGGAGCAGCAGCTTCCCCATCAGCTGGCTTCGTCCGTGGTGATAGTGTGCCTTCGGCGCCTTGTGGCGACCTAGCTTCAGGCTCAGGTTCGTCACAGGCGCCTGGCGCCGGCGATGCAGGGTTCTCCCTGTCTTCGCCTGGTGCCCTGACTGGCGGTCGCCTCGGCGCCGACCAGCTCGGGGACACCTCGGTGCCTGGCAGTCAGTCTGGGCTGCCCGGGAAACCTGTCGCGGCAGGTTCCTCTTGGGCACCTCGGCGCCCCGGTCTGGGTTCCACCCGGCAGGGCGACTCGTCCCTTCTGGCTCCTCTCGACCTTTTGAGCCCTTCATGTTCAGCCTCTGTGGTACCCTCGGCGGTCTCTCTTGAGTATGAGAGTACGGCAGCCGAGGATTGTACCGAGGTTGATATGGAGGAGGATGAAGGGAGGGAGGAGTTGGAGGTTGGAGTCCCGTACTCCTTTGGGTCATCCCTGCGGCAGGTTCGCAATAAGATCGCTGAAGTCCTGCCCCAGGTGGCTGTCCCCGTGCAGGCGCCCGATCCCGCTGAGTTTCTGCTCGGAGAGCGAGGCTTCAGCCCAGCCGGTCGCCGAGGTTCGCTCTCCGCATTTTGCCATCACTGGTGGTGAGGTGGTTAATCCTCTCCTTACTGGTGCCCGTACGCGGTTTGATTTACCCGACGTCGGCAAAAGGTACCAGTTGGGAGAGGATGCGCTATTTGAGCCGCCAGTGGTGGACGAATGTGTTTTCGCTTCCATTACTCTAGGGGGGTGGTCCACGTCTTCCCTGGCCTCGGCCAGGCAGGGCAGGCGGCTCCCCCCTTTTCCTAACAATGCGCCTACGCTGAGGTCTGCGTACCGGTCATTTGAGTTAAAAGTGGCCGTCCACTCAGCTTACCTGTCGGCGTTACAGGGTCAGCTGGTGGATCAGAGCGCTTGTGGTGCCGACTAGTCGGCGCCGGTGCTCGCGCATGAGCTAACGGGTGTTCATTCTCATCTGGCTCGGGACAGTATTCAGTGCTGCGCCAGCCAGATGATGGGTGCCGTTATGGGCTTGCGTCGGCTATGGTTATCTGTGGCGCGCTATTCGCCAGCCACGCAAAAGGCGCTCCTGTCTCTGCCTTACACAATGGGGTCCTCCCTGTTCCCTGGGGCATTGCAGGTTGTACGGGAGGCCGCGGAGGCTGTGTCTACCTTCAAAGACTCTAAGCCTTTGTTGGAACAGCCCTCCATTCCTTGCCAACGGCCTTCCCCTCTTACTGCCGCATATCCTTCTGCCCTGGAGTAAGAGAGCAAAAGGCAAGGGCAGGCCTGCTCAGTCGCAGCAGCCTTTTTGGGGCAGGGGGAAGCCAGCCCCGGAGACTTGCCGACTGTGGGGGTGCATTGCCTCATGCCAAACGTCCCTGTCGGCGGCCGGTTGTCCCTATTCCTTCGGGAGTGGGAGGCAGCCACCACAAATCCCTGGGTCCTGTCCACGCTCAGGGATGGCCATTTGCCACAGTGGAGGCGAGATCCACTGTCCTTCTCTGGGGTTCGGCACACTCCCGTGCCGACTTCCCGGGTGATGGCGGACGTACTCCGTGCCGAAGTTCAGTCCTTACTGGACAAGGCAGCCATCGAGGTGGTTCCTGTGGGTCAGCAAGGAGAGGGGTTTTATTCCACTTACTTCCTAGTGACCAAGAAGGACAGAGGGTTCAGACCCATTCTGAATCTCAGAGGGCTGAACAAGTTACTAGAGGTGCCGTCTTTCAGGATGGAGACACTCAGGTCAGTGATCTCCTCCGTCGAGACAGGGGATTGGCTTAGGTCAATCGATCTCAAAGACGCGTACCTCCATGTTCCAATGCACCCCGAGTTCAAGAAGTACCTCCGGTTCTCCTTCAACAGGACGTGCTACCAGTTTCGCGTGCTCCCCTTCGGCATCTCTACGGCGCCAAGGCTGTTCACCATACTTATGCTACTCCCAGCTCTCAGGGCAGGTGTTGTTACCCGTACCTGGACGATTGGCTTCTCAGGGCGTTAGGTCCTCAGTTAAGCAGTGCTTCCACACTGTGTGTGATGGATACTCTGGTGTCACTGGGCTGGATTATCAACCTCAAGAAATCAGACCTCGTTCCGACGCAGGATCTGGTATTCTTGGGGGCAAGATTCAACACGGAGCTGGGGATTGTTTCCCTCGCTCCGGACCGTATCGTCAAAGTCCAGAGGTCTGTGTTACAGTTTCTCCAGTCGCCCTATGCGTCGGCCCCAACATGGCTTCGGTTGCTGGGCAACATGGCGGCGACAGTTCCTCACTTGCAGTGGGAGACGGACGTCGGGAATTTGACACCTAGACACCCCGACACCTTCCCTCTCAGTTCAGACGGACGCCTCCCTCACAGGGGGGGGGGGGGTTGTGTGTGTGTGTGTGTCCTGGGCGAACACTCAGTCTCAGGCCTCTGGTCGGAGCGGGAAGTCAGCCTGCACATCAATGTGTTAGAACTGAGAGCAGTCCGCCGGGTGTTCGAGAGCTTTCGGGTGTTTGTTCAGGGCCGTGTGGTTCGTCTAGAGATGGACAATCAAACGGCCATGTCTTACATCCTCAAGCAAGGCGGCACAGTGTCTCGTCCACTCCTTCAGGAGGCGTGGCAGTTTCTACTCTGGTGCGATCAGTTCAACATTCGGGTTTTGCCTGTTTATCTCCGGGGTAGACAGCGTCACGTCGCGGATGCTCTCTCATGGCGTATACTAGCCCCACAGTGGCTGCTCTCGACCGGAGATATTCGGGATTATCTCCCAGTTGTTGAGGGTTGTTCCAGGTGGATCTGTTGGTTTTGGAGTGACGAACCAGATTCCTGTGTTTTGCTCTCGATTCGGATCGAGAGCTAATAACGGCATTTCAGCTAGATTGGACGGGCAGGGTACTGTGGGCATTCCCCCCGATACCACTGATTCCCAGGGTCCTGTCTCAGCTGACCGCACACCCAGCTCGGCTACTTGTGCTTCTTGCACCCCTTTGGTCTGCGCAAAGTTGGTTTCCGGTAATTCTCAGGTTTCTGGCTCGGCCTCCTGTTCTATTACCCTTTTGACCGGACCTCCTATCCCAGAGCGGGCCCACCACGAATCCCAGGATTCAGTGGGTGGCAATTGCTGTCGTTAGATCACGCCCGAAGCGAGGCGGAATTCCTGCACCAGTTGCAGACACAATTCTGGCTTCCCGGAGGGATTAAACAAACGTTCAATATGAGGATAGATGGGCCTGTTATTATTGGCTGGTGGTGTGTCAACAGGGGATTCTTGATCCCTTTTCTGCAGATTTAGTCTCTGTCTTAGAATTCCTCCAGTCTCGGTTGGATGCCGGTCTAGCGGCTTCAACTGTTCGAGGATATTCTATGGCTATTTCTGCGTTTCATATTCCTGTTGACGGTTCTCTCTTGGGGCAGCACCCTCTTGTGCAGCGTTTTTTAGCGGGCGTGGACAGAATCCGTCCGGTTGTCCGGCGGATTAGTCCCCCGTGGGACTTGCCAATCGTTCTTGATTTCACTATTTCACAATCTGTCGGCTCTTTCACTCCAGCTGTTAACGTGGAAGACGGCTTTTCTTGTGGCGGTAACTTCAGGCAGGCGGGTTGGCGATATTCACGCCATGTCGGCCGATCCCGCGCTCACTGTTTTTCATAAAGGCAGAGTTAGCATACGGCTGCCTGATACTTACCGTCCTAAGAAGGATAGTGCCTTTCATGTGACGGCGCCTATTGAGCTCCCGGCTTTCACTCAGCCTTCCCTGCCCGGTACCTCTCTACGACGTGCTCACATCTTAGATGTCCCTAAGACCCTTAAAGAGCAAGTGTACACGAAAATAAACCTTTTTGTCTTGCACTTTTTCATCATGAAAAATGTTTGTCAAGTAGTTTTATATCCAAACCCATACA